ATCTCTCATCATGGGTGTAGGATCTCTCATCATGGGTGTAGGGTCTCGTCATGGCTCCACAACCTCGTGATGCTCACAGGATGTCAGCACGGCTGCAGGATCCCAGTGTGGTTGCAGGATCTCGTGCTGGCCATGAGGATCTCAGCAGGGTTGCAAGATCTCGTTGTGACTGCAGGAACTCGGCGTGGGTGTAGGATGTCATCGTGGGCACAGGACCTCGTTATGGCTATATAGGATCTCATTGTGGGCGCAGGTCCTCATTATGGGCAGTGGGATGGGGCCCTACCAGCCACGCACGGGGTGCCATAGGGCCACCACCTGCCCCTCCTCGTGCACATAGTACACAGGGTGCATGGCCGCCGTAGCACACGCCTGTGGGGGAGAGTAGGGTGACACACGGGGTGACACTGGGGACAAGGGGATGGGGGACAGCACTCACGTGGTATGGGATGAGTGCCAGCACGCTGCCCACGGGGAACTTCCCAAAATCCATCTGTCCATCAGCGTGCTCCAGCAGCCCGTGCTCCTGCGTCAGCCCCACCAACCTGCAAGGTCACACCGTCACGTCCCTGGGCCACCATCCCAACCCTGACCCCGTCACTCACCGCAGCTCGGGGTGCCCATCGATGGCAGCGCAGCCCTGGGGGCCCCGTCCTGCTCCTGCCCCGTGCAGGCTGAGTGCTGTCCAGCCACAGTCCACCAGCAGCTGCCCTCGGTGCGTGTAGTGCCCAATAACCCTCGTGAGGACACGGATGGCCACGTCCTGGGGCTGGCAGGAGCCCAGCTGTGTCTGCTGCAGGTCTGCAGAGAGCCGTGGGGTCGGGGCTGTGCTGGGACACGGTGGGGCAGCGGGGTGCTGTGGGCACTCACCGTAGAAGATGTAGTTGCCCGGGTGCAGCTCGGTGAGTTGGGACATCTCAGGGATGGGGTGGCTGCAGGAGGGAGTGGAGCCGATGCTGGCGTGGGGACAGGGCACACCAGCCTGCCTCAGCCTGGGGAGGGAAAAGGGGAATGTCACCTATTGGGTGTCACTGCTGTCGTGCCATCGAGTGGGGCCAAATGTGCCCCCCACGCAATGGAATGACACCACAAGGGAGTCCGGGTCTCATCCAGGTGTGGAAGGGGAACCGTCCAGGTGTGATGGCAGAGCCATCCAGATGTGGAAAAGTTAACAGTGGGCCCCCCCGCCCAGTGTGCTGGGGCCCACCCAGATGTGCAGTCACCAACCAGACGTGGAAGAAGTCCCCCCATGAAACGTGCCAAGGCACCATCCTGACGTGGAAGAAGTTCCCTCCCAACCAAAACTGTGCCAAGGGACAATCCAGATGTGCCATGGCCATCCAAGTGTGGAGGTTTTCACCCCTCCCAGAGCTGACTGTTACAAGGGACACCCAGATAAGGTCAATTACCACCCCAAGATGTGCCAGAGCACACACTCTAATGTGCTCAGCATCTTTCCAGATTGTGCAGGAACCAAATTCCAATGTGCAGGGAGCCCCCACGTTGTGCCTGGGGTCTCCCTCTTAGGTTTCATTCCCCCCCCCCCCCCCCAGATGCACCCCACATGTGTCAGGCATAGTGCATTCTGAAGCTGGGTTTAGGGGAATGTGTCCCAGATCTTGAAAAATGGGGGCTCATAAGGGGAACCCCACACAGCTGGCCTTGAACTCCTTGAATGTTTAGGGTATTTTGAGCTGGAGAACATCCCCGTGCACCCAGAGATCCCACTGACCTCAAGGGAAGGGAGAAACATCCGTCTGCAATTCACTCTGGGATGTGAAACCCCACTCAGCTCTTCGCCCGGGGGACAAAAGGGAGGTGGGCAGACTGGGGACGGGACACATCAAAGGGGTTTGGGGCCTTCCCCTCCAGCCCCCTGGGGCTCAGGGCTTTGTGGGGCCGTGCTTTATGGGGCCGGCAGGAAGCGGGCAATTTGCATTTACAACCGGCACATTGGGGCTGGTGGTTTTATGGGATGGACAGAGCAAAGGGCTCAGCCCCTATAAAAATTCCCCTTAATTCTAGCCAGGTTTGGGGCCGGGTGTTGTGTACAATGGGGTCCCTACTGGGGCACGCACTCACGCAGCCACAAAGCCGAGGACAGCGTTGGTGGTGGTCCTGGCGATGGCCTGGATGGCGTCTGCCCCACTGCAGCCATAGGTGTTCCCACAGTGTGCATAGACCCCAACCAATGTCACTTCCTTGGGTGCATCGGTGGCGATGGCCCTGGCCAGCTCCAGGGCTGCAGGATCCGTCGGACGCACGCCAGCTGCCAGCAAGGAAACAGGGTCTTGGGTTTGTAAGGTTGGTTTGCTGCTTGGGGGGGGGTGGGTTTGGGGGTTCTGTGATGGATGGGGAAGGTTGGGTATGTCCTTCCTGCATGGAACATAAATATGGACCCTATATCCTAATACTGGCCCTAACATGACCCTAACACTAATTCTGATGCCTAACTCAACCTATCCCTAATCCCTAACCCTGACACTAACCCTAATCCTAATGCCCAACCCTAAACCTGCACACACGGGGCATCTCTCTCCATGGAGCATCCTTGGGGTGAATGAAAAAGGCTTTTGGGGATTATTGGACCCGCATTAGCTTGAGATGCTGTGGACTCTGGGAACATCCCTCTTCCATTGACCGTCCACCCTTGGGGTGGTTGGGTGTAAGTGAGGATTTTGAGACTCATGGACCCATATTGGTAAGCTGGAGCTGGGAGTTTTGAGGGCACAAGGGACTTCCCTTCCTCGCTGACCATCCTTGGGGTGGCTGGATAAATAAATAGGGCTTTTGGGGCTGATGGACCCATAAGTAACTTGAGCTAGAGTTTGGATACACACTTTGGAGACACATGGACCATCATTCCATGAAACAGCCTTGGAGTGAGCACAAATGGGGCTTGTGGGATTCATGGACACACGGTGCTACAAGGGCTGGGGGCTTTGAGGACGCACGGAACATCTCTCCATGGAAGATCCTTGCGGTGGATGAAATCTTTTTTGGGGATTAATAGGCACATGTTGGCTTGAGCCGCTGGGGCTTTTGGGGGAACGTGTGCCATCTCCTCATGGAGCATAGAATCATAGAATCATAGAATCACCAAGGTTGGAAAGACCTTCAAGATCATGCAGTCCAACCATTCACCTATTCCCAATAGCTCCTACTAACCCATGTCCCTCAACACAACATCCAGCCTTTCCTTGAACACCCCCAGGCTCGGTGACTCCACCACCTCCCTGGGCATCCATTCCAGTGCCTGACCACCCTTTCTGAACAGTAATACTTCCTCATGTCCAGCCTGAATCTCCCCTGCCGTAGCTTGAAGCCATTCCCTCTGGTCCTATCACTGATGACACGAGAGAAGAGGCCGACCCCCAGCTCACTACAAGGTGAGCTTGCTGTGAATGGTGAGAAAGATATTTAGGAGACGCTGACCCACCCCATCCTCCCCAACTCACGGGAATCAAGGCTTTGGAGACCTCCCACCCCATCCCCAATCGCCATCCCCACCTCTGCCGTTGCCGCAGTCGAGCTTCAGCCAGACGAGCCAGCGTTTGCCATGGGCCAGTGGCCGCTGCCGCAGGCAGGCCAGCGCCTCGGGGCGGTCCAGCAGCACGTGGAAGGCTTCGAGGCGCTGCGCCAGCCCTGCACACTCCTCCAGCCGCGTGGTGGGCAATGGGTAAGCCAGCAGGATGTCATCAAAGCCACCGTCCGCAAAGAAACGCGCTTCGGCCAACGTGGAGACAGCGATGCCGCGCCGCGTGCCGCCGGTGGCCAACAAACCGCCTTCCCTTTAGGCAACCATCCGTGGGACGAGGCGATATTGGTGGGAACGATGGGGATAACGGGGGTGTGGGGGACACTGGGGACAAAGGGTGGCACTCACAGCGTCTTGTGGGTCTTGACGTGGGGTCGCAGGCGGACGCCCAGGGTCCGGCAGTGCTCCCGCATGCGCTCAGCGTTGCGACGCGCCGTGGTGCGGTCGATGGTCAGTGCTGGGGTGGGCAGCGTGTCCAGGCGGGCACCCAACCACATGGCCACTCTTCTGGAGACACTTTCTGAGGAGGTTCCGGGGCGGCTGGTCACCACTCTCGACCTGCAAGCTGGGGGAGTGTGTATGGGAGGGGTCCAGGTGGGAGGGGTGAGAGAATTGGCTGTCTTGGAGCAGAGATATTTGGGATAAGGACAGCTGGAGCACCTGCATTACCTGGGTCAGGACACCTGGGTCTGGGATACTAGGAGATAAGGACAGCTGTGGCACTGGGACACTCTGGGACACCTGGAAGACTGGGAACAGGGACACTGAGGGAGAGGGATGTGATGTTAGGACACCTGGAACACCCGGGTCAGGGACATTTGGGATGTTGTGGGAAACCTGGAAGATTGGAAACTGGGATACTGGGGGATAGGGGCTCCTGATGCTGGGACACCTGGAACACCTGGGTGACCTGGAAGGTTGGGAATGGGGACTCTGGGTGATGGGGCACCTGGGACAAGAACACGTGGGACACTGGGAGTAGGGACATGTGGGACTGGAACACCTGGAACACCTGGGTGAGGACAGCTGGGACGAGGACACACGGGATAACAGGAGGAGGAACATCTGGGTCAGGGGCACTTGGGTCTACGATACCTGGGGACAACAACAGCTGGGACATGAGGAACAGGGACACCTAGGGACAGCACACCTGGGACAAGGACAGCAGAATGGGGATATAAGGGAACAGAGACACCTGGGTCACCTGGGTGAGGGACACCTGGAGACAGCTGGGACATTGGAAACAGGGACACTTGCACACAGGGACACCTGGGACTGGGATTTCTGATGCCAGGACACACAGAACACCTCGGTCATCTGGGACAGGGACACTTGAGTGTGTGACACCTGGGACTGAGACACCTGGAGACAGGGACAGCTGGGACACTTGGAACAGAGACACCTGGGGACAGGGAGAGTTGGCACAGGGACATCTAGAGGTTAGAGAGGCACCTGGGACAGGAATACCTAAGATAATGACAACAGGGACACGGGGGAACATTTGGGACAGGGAAATCCGGGATAGGGACCCAGCGAACAGGAGCACCTGGGAGTTGGACACCTGGAACGTAGACCTATGGGACCGGGACCTATGGGACAGTGGGACAGCCAGGCCCAGGACCTGGCCTCAGGGACACGGGGACAGTGCCACCTGGCACTGCCACGGGGTTCTCCCTGTCCCTGCAGGAGCAGGAGCAGAGGTTGACGTCCTCCGGGGAGCGCCCCGTGCCTCAGTTTCCCCACAGGCTCCCACCAAGGCCATCCCAGCAGCACCCCAAGCCCTCCCGTCCATCTGTCCTTACCTCACTGCCGTGGCTGCTCTCGGCGCGGCTCCGGCGGCCTCTGGCCGTGGCTGTGCTGGTGCAGCTCCACGTGATGCCGTGGGCACCCGCGGCCAGCCCTGCCCAGGGACAGAGGTCGCTGCCAGCCGTGGGGCCCCGGCAATGGCAGGGGCAGGGGAGGACACGGGAGCTGACAGTGCTTGGGGACAGGCATGGGGATAGGATGCCAGCAAGGAGGTGGGGATTCGGGGTCACTGAGACCCTGGGCACTTGTGACATGCAGGGACCTTGCTGCTGAGACCCCTGTGCTGGTCACACGTGGGGACACAGTTGAGACCAGCATGCTTGTAACATGTGGCTGAGATCCATTGCACTCCTAGCGCATGGGAACAATGCTGCTGAGCCCCCTACACTCATGACACCAGTGGGGGCAATGCTGCGGAGATCCTGTGACGGTGACACGCAGTGATGTGGCTGTTAAGCTCATGACATGTGGGGATTGAGATCCATCACACTCATGACATGCGAGGACACAGCTGAGATCCCCTCACTCACGACAAGTGGGGACACAGCAGAGGCTGCCACATCTGTGACACAGAGGGACACAGCTGAGACCCCCGTCAACACTCACAACATGAGGGGATATAGCTGAGACCCCCTGCACTCATTACACCAGGGGACACGGCCGCTGAGACCTCATGATGGTGACATGTGGGGACCAGGCTGAGACCTCCCATGCCCGTGACACGTGGGGACACAGCTGAGATTCCCCCAGCTTGTGACATGAGACAGGAGGTGGCTGCCACGTGCACCCGTGTGCCAGGCAGGCTGGGGACAGCACAGACAGCCTGCAGGGACATGGGGCCACTGGCCCCCCGCCCGGAGCACAGCCAGTGCCAGGCCAGCCCTGCTATGTAGGGCAGGAAGAAAAGAAGGGCCTCGTGCCCTCACGGCATCCCAAAAACACTGCATGGGGGGGAACGAATGTCCCTAACAGAGACAGCGCGGGGCAGACAAAGGCCTTGTGCACATTTATTTCTTATAGACAGATA